CCCACGCACACCCGGCTCCCGCGCCCACACCCCCGACCCACGCACACCCGGCTCCCGCGCCCACACCCCCGACCCACGCACACCCGGCTACTGCCCAGCACAGCCTCCGGGCCTGGTTCACACGGGCACAGAAACTTCACGCACTTCTGGAAGAGCCTCGCCCGCCCTCCCCCGAAGGAGCCTGCTCACGGACCGTGCCCAGCGATTGGGAAACACGGAGCCGTGCCTTGTTGATCCCATTCCGGGGAGAGCGGGGGAGGGGGAGGGAAAGCGCACTTCTGGAAGAGCCTCGCCCGCCCTCCCCCGAAGGAGCCTGCTCACGGACCGTGCCCAGCGATTGGGAAACACGGAGCCGTGCCTTGTTGATCCCATTCCGGGGAGAGCGGGGGAGGGGGAGGTAAATTCCGACCCAGCAGCGATGCTGGTGGATTAAAAACTCCGCTCGATTTTGGAAAAGAAACATCCGCTACGACACATTTGGATCGGATTACAAGGGCCCTACGGCAGGAGCCTCGCAAACACGCCGCTGCCGGCACTGAAGTCAAGTCCGGGTTGCTCTTTTTGAAATTAAAGTGCAATCTTAATAGTAATGCAGCGCGCCCTTTGAGATTCCAAAGCCCGGGCCGGAGCTCGGTTCCTCCGGAGTGAAGCCGGTGGGCGCTCAGGGCGCAAACTGGAGGGAGCAAAGCAGCCCCGGTGCAAGAACGGGTTCATTTCAAAGTCGAGGCAGGATGCTGGAAAATCCAGCCGCAGGAATATCCCGGCCAGCGGGCTGGGGGAGTCGCCTTCCACCGAGGGCTGGGCACATGCTGTTGCGAATCTGCACTGGGAGTCTCCAATCCGGATCGCTTCCCGGCGCCTCCCTAGCCAGCCCCTTACCCCACCCCACCGCAGCACTCACCTTCATGGTGGAAACTCCTCACGGTGTTGGCCCGGCTGGTCGATCTCTCGGGGTAGCGCAAGCTGAGATCCTGCAAACTTTCCTCCTCCTCCCCGGACTGCAGCCGATAGAGATCCAGCATGTAAGCGGGGATGACGGCTGCTTTGCTGGGATGGGGCCGCCTGCGGAGCCCGAACATCTGCAGCAAACTGGCCTCGAAACCCCGCAAGAGTTCATGGCTTGGCCCAGAGCGGCGTCCGGATCCGGCTTGACCCTGGAGTTCGGCAACTTTCTTCCTCCCGGTCTCGGGTATCAAACTGGCATGGTTGGTACCGCCGAGCAGGACTTGGCCCAATAGGATGACCATCAGCATTCGGTTACCAGCGATCATGGTGTCTCTGGGGTTTCAACAGGGAAAAAACCCGCAACAACAAACAAGGAGGGTCAAGAGCGGCGTCCGGATCCGGCTTGACCCTGGAGTTCGGCAACTTTCTTCCTCCCGGTCTCGGGTATCAAACTGGCATGGTTGGTACCGCCGAGCAGGACTTGGCCCAATAGGATGACCATCAGCATTCGGTTACCAGCGATCATGGTGTCTCTGGGGTTTCAACAGGGAAAAAACCCGCAACAACAAACAAGGAGGGTCAAGATTAAAAACAGCCCCCAAACTCCTCCCCGTGCAGTCTGATCCCCCCAAACCTGTAACTGACTAGCTCCCGCTTGTTTGCAGCCCCCACCGCCCTGCCCGGCTCATCTTTTCGGCCCCTGCTATCTTAGCCCGGACCCGAACTGCTTGCAAGAATAAACCGTCCACACTGGGCTCCGATGGAATCTCTCCCCTGCCCTCCTCCTCCCCTATCCTAAAGGCTTGCTAAAGTGCAGCTGATCGGGGGGATCCATCAGCAGGGACCACAGGGAGGGGGGGCACTTCCACAAAAGTTACTCTCCCTGCCCCCCCCCCTTTTTTTGGCGCTGTCCCTGTAAAGTGCCGCTACCGCTTGGCCACGGCCTGAACTGGGTTTCGAGACCCGCCAGAGAGGGGGGCACTGGACTTGGAGCTAAGGTCCCTGCAGACACAAGAGACAGAAAGTTGCAAAAAGTTCTGTTCGCACAAGCGCCTGGGAAGAGGGAGAAGTGGGGGGCGGCGGGGGGGTTGCACGTTCGAGTCCGCAGGGGATCAGAGGGGGCGAGGAGGAGGAGAAGGGGCTACTCACTGACAGAAAGCAAGGCATGGAAAAACAGTCCATGATTCTAGCCAGCCAATCTGGAACAAACGGGTGGAAAAGCTGCGGAGCGGCTCCTGCGAGGGACGTTCGAATCCAATGAGGCTCCAAAGCGGACTGGCTCTGTTTTTCTTCCAGCCCAGGCGAGTCACGTGGCCCCAAGTCACTCCTGCACCGCTTGTCCCTCACAGCCCGGGCGCCGCCCACCCGGCTCCAAAAGGGATGTCCCGCCCCGCCGCCCCTGTCAATCTCCTTGCTAGGGGAGAAACTTTCTCTTGCTAAGGGGGCTGGCCGGCCTGATGCTGATAAAATCCCACTGCGGGGGGACAAGTTCAATGGGAGCAGGACTTTAAACTGCAGGCTCCTCTTTGCCTTGCACCCACCTGCAGTGCCTGAGGGATTGCCCTCATCCCCACCCCACTACATCCCCCCCACTGCCCCCAGCTCAGCCCTGCTTGCTGTATCCTTAGCCTAAAGCAGCACTTCTATATGAAAACCAAGTGCCATAGGCCTTCCCCACTGGTAACCCCCCTTGATTTGCCTTTCCCCAGCTGCAACCCCCTGGATGCAAAACACCTAGCATTGCCAGGTGTCTGGTTTTGAACCGGACAGTCCAGCATTTGAGCTTTCTGTTTGGGAAACAAATAGAGAAAATAGAAATGTTGGGTATTTTCTAAATCAGATGGAATGCAGATTGTGATGTCATGTCAAGTGTGTCCGGTATTTTTGTTGAAAACATTTGGCAACCCTAAAAACACCCAGGTCACTAGAGGATCTGCCCCATTGCTTTCCATACCCAGCCAGAATCTTGCCAGCACTGAGTCTGGCAGGGGAGGGAGCCAGGGGGAGCTAAACTAAATGCAATGCCAAACTTTAAGGGCTTAACCCATCAATGGGAGTGTTTGTGAACAGGGCAGGGGCCTGCTTTGCTGGTGTGAGAGCTCCCCTCCGAATTAAAGCACAGTCAACTTCATTAGTACCATCAAAGTAAAAGAAGACTCACCAAGCTTTCCCTAGCATTGAGCTTCCAGCCGGAGGGATGGGACACTGGGGAAGTTTTCTCAGCTTCTGGGAGCAAGTAAAATATGAAAAATATGAAATAGCCTTGGGCATCCGCTCCTCCTCCTCTCCCCCCCACTTCCCGTCTTTGCACTTGTGTGTTAAGTTAATTATTACTACTGAACGCGGGCTTCAGGAAGCTACTTCCAAGAACTGCACCTCGCCACAGCTCAAGGAGGCATGGAGGGATGCTGGGAGCAGGAATCTGTCATCAGGAAGGACCTATTCAAAAATCAAACCTATGACACAGCGCAAAGTCAGAATCAGGGCGGCACCTTTTCCGGACCGAAGCCCTCTGAAGCAGAACCAGGCTCAGCCTTTGGTCCATCAAAGAGTTCCACATCGCCCAGCTAATCCACAGCCAGGCAGAGAGACAACCAGCATCTCCTGCTGACAAGGGTAAGGACTATTTCAATGTGAGATCTCCCCTGGAGGTCCTGAGGGGCTAGAGGTGTCCTGTCCTCCAGCAGGGCTGAGTGAGCCTTCAGTATGAAACGCTGGTATTTTCCAAGGCAGGCAAGGGGGTTTCTTTTCCCATCATCACTCTGTGATGGAAGACAAGCAGGCAAACCCCGCGCTTTCCCAGCATTTGGAAGGCAGGGTCCCTCCGCGGCATGCAAAGGAAAACCCAGAGCCCAGAGAAAACTCTAAGACGTGTGAATAAGGAGATTTCAGATGGGACCTGGGCTGTGAGATCCAGGTTGGACTTGCAGAACTTGTTACCTGCAGGGGAGGGGGAAATGCCCCCTCCCCATCTGAGTCAGCGGAAATATGCGGCTTTCCAGCCCTCAGATCCCCTTTCACAACCAAATCCCAGCAGGGTTTTGCGTATGCGAGCAAACCAAAGTGGATTGGAATCGACTCTCCGGAAGCCACGTCACACAAAGAGGGATTCTCCACTTCCCCTTTCTTGCTGCACGTGACTCTGGTTCCTCTGTGAAAACGAGGCGGCGTCCTGTGGCACCTTACAGACAACAGAATTATTTGGGCATCCACCTAAACACTCACGGTTTGGGCCCACAAACGCTTACGCCCAAATGAATCTGGTAGTCTTTCGGATCCCACAGGGCTCCTCCTTGTTTTTGTGGCTCCAGCTATCGTAGCTACCCCTCTGAGACTCAGTCCCTCTGTCTGTCTGTCTCCCAGAAGCCCCCCTCCCCCCCGGGAGAAGCACCTCTCAAATCCCGTGAAACCCCGTTGGGTTTGGCCACGCCGGCAGCATCCTTGGAAACAAGGTGGAACCAGGTTACCTTGTGCTGGCTTGGGGGACATCAGAGAATGCCCTGGGTCTCTGGATCATCCCCAGCAATAGGGGATGGGAGAGGGGACAACACAGATAATTCTACTAGGATGGTACTGGATGTCCCCAGCGACCACTCATAACGCTGCCTTGCAAAGGGAAACTTGGGAGTCATCTCTCCCTGCAGTAGAGAACATGAGAACGGCCATCATGGGTCAGACCAACAGTCCATCCAGCCCAGTACCCTGTCTGCCAACAGTGGCCAATGCCAGAGGGAGGGAACACAATAGGTAATCCTCATGTGATCCTTCCACTGTCACTCACTTCCAGACAAACAGAGGCTAGGGACAGCATTCCTACCCATCCGGGCTAATAGCCACTCATCGACCTAACCACCATGAATCTTTCTAGCTCTTTTTTGAACCCTGTTAAAGTCCTAGCCTTCACCACATCCTCTGGCAAGGAGTTCCACAGGTTGACGCTGCTCTGCATGAAGAAATACTTCCTTTTGTTTGTTTTAAACCTGCTGCCTATTAATTTCATTTGGTGACCTCTAGTTCTTATACTGTGGGAATAAGTAAATAACTTTTCTTTATTCACTTTTTCCACACCACTTTTTCCACCTCTATCATATCCGTCCCCTTAGTCTCCTCTTTTCTAAGCTAGAGGAGGGGGAGCTTGGCAATGAAAAGCAGCCACCCGGGGATGGTTAGAGATCTGATCTCTCTCCCCCTCCCCACCAGATGGGCAAAGAGACCTGCATACTGGCCTCCTCAGCCCTGCCCCACGGGAGCCCTTGGGTGTGAAAGGCCAGATGCGGCCCTGAGCTCTTACCCAGGTAAGTGTGATCACTGTCTGGTTCTGATGCAGGCTGTGGGAACAAGGGGGGCATGCTCAGTGATCTGGGGTGGGGGGGATACATGCTAATCCCAGCACAGAGGGGTTGCCACAGTCAGCTGCCAGCACCCTCTGTCCTTGTGAAAGGGACTTTGCCTGGGTATTAGCCAGAGCCAGCTTCAGAAGTCAGCATTCACTCTCGCCCTCTTCTCTTCCTTCCCCCCTCCCTCTCTCCCTGGACCAGGCTAACCCACACCAGCCAGCTCACTGGGCTGCTACATTACAAGCTCCGCCCCCTCCGAGGATGTCAGTCACTCCCTCCACAGCCAGGCCAGGCTAGCAGACCACATGCTATGGCAACCCAGCTTGCACAGGCTACCTGCCGCTGATTGGTGTACGCTTGATACATTGGAATATGGAGACTATCCCGATCACAGGAGCCACTGCCGTTGATTGCTTGAACTAGTGATGGAGTCCAAACTGTCCCAAGAGTTGGGGACTGGGATCCGGAGCAGAGAGGGGAGTCATTTAGCTCATGACAGACATAGGCCAGCTGCCCCATTCAGATCTGCGTTCCTCACGCTTCCAGGCTGTTCGCATTGGGTCAGACTCATCTGCAGGCGACACACTGCAGTCATCTTGGAGAGGTAGGGAAACCCCCCGAAAGAGATGGTGATGGACAAGGCAGCTTTCAAAAGGTAAATCTACTCTTGCCGCGGTGAGTACAGACGCCACACGTCCAGTGAGCATGAGTATTAACGGCAGTGTAGACAAGTCCCCGAGCGGGAGCCGTGTTAGTATCTGCAAAAACGAGGAGTCCTGTGGTCCTTTAGCTCTGGTCTACACTAGGGAGTTATTTCAAAATAACCCCCCTTATTTTGAAATAATAAGCAGAGCATTCACACTTCCAAGACCGTTATTTTGAAATAATGGGCTGGTTATTTCAAAATCTGTACTCCTGATTTCCTCGGGCAATAATGCTTATTTCAAAACGCTCCACTGCTGCTAGTTCAAAATAATGACTCCCGAGAGTCATTTAAAGTAATTACTCCTCATTGCTTCCTGGGGCTCCAAGTCAAGGTTGC